ATATAAAGATTCTATTTTCTTCCATCTGTAAGTCATGAAATTGTCCATCAACCACAAGAGGGATAAAGACAGCTTAAATTTTATCAACTAGAAAGGGTGAATGCCTAAAGTTTATGTTTATTATTTCTCACACCTACAAAATTTTAAATTATTTTTTTAAATTAAAATTTTTAAACTAAAAGACTTACAAATCACTTCAGACATAAATGTATTACTTTTAACTGAAACACAGCTGAAATTACTCAAGTAATTCTCTTAGTACCATGATGATACATGGATGGTAAACAGAAAACTACCTTCTACACAGATGTATTTATTTCTCCATTCAATACCATCAGGCCTCGGAATGGCTTTGGCTTCACGAACTGAAATCATTTGACTATTCCAGCTATAAGAAGAAAAACAGTAAACATGTTAACTATTTTCATAATTTCTCTTATATTATTTTTATTGTATCAATAGTAAGGCCTACCCCAATCTTCCTGTGGAACACTGAAACCTGTGCCCCAACCCTCAGCACCACAAGCCCTATTTCCCACCTCTATTTTATTTTCCACAACACTTATCATCTTCTAATAATTTGTTTCTTACATTTACTATTTATTACGTTATTCTTCATTGTGTCTCCCTCAAGTAGGAGGAAAGCTCCAAGATACTGGATATTTATCTACTTTTTTCACTCTTCACCTAGGAGAACAGTACATACCAGGTTTTCAACACATATTTCAATACATATGAAAAAAATGAAGTAACTGGAAAAAATAAGAAAGTACAGGCTGGGTGCGGTGGCTCACACCTGTAATCTCAGCACTTTGGGAGGCTGAGGCGGGTGGATCACGAGGTCAGGAGTTCAAGACCAGCCTGGCCAAGATGGTGAAACCCCATCTCTACTGAAAATACAAAAATTAGCTGGGCATGGTAGTGTGCACCTGTAGTCCCAGCTACTCGGGAGGCTGAGGCAGCGTAATCACTTGAACCCGGGAGACGGATGTTGCAGTGAACCGAAATCATGCCACTGCACTCCAGTCTGGAGAGAGGGTGAGACTCCATCTCAAAAAAAAAAAAAAAGAAAGTACAAGTAAACAAACAAAAAAATAACAACTATGGTCATAGTTAACAACGCAGTAACAATCTGTTATTTGTTAAGAGGGAAGTAATCCTCTAGTGTTATCTTCTGGTATTATTAAATAATTTTTGTTCAGGTACATCTTTATGTGTATGATTTGGGAGAAAATTTTGAAATTTTCCAATAGAAGTAGATGCTGTTTTAGGAAAGCAAAATTAATACTCTATGAAAATATACTTTATTGCTGTATATAAGATGCAGTTGTTAAGAGTAAAATTTTATTCAAGTAAAATAATTTCATCAGTGGGCCTGAAGGTAAACTGTCCAGTCTTTAGTATATACTAACTTTACATTTTTTAAAAAAGGTTTTTCTAACAGTTATTACAAGTATTTTCTTTTTTTCAAGGAACATTTTAAAGTATATGACTACCCAGCTTGTACATGAGAGAAAAATAAATTTGAGGAACAGCTAATACCATTTTTTAAGCAGTATTTAGCTTTCTCTACCACTTAAGACTATTGTTTGGGACCTTCCAACACCCTACACTTCTCCTCTATTTATCAGAAAGAGAATTTGTAGGAATATAATCATGGATCCTGTATGGCATTTATTTATAGAAATTTGACTAATTTCTATATTAAATAAGCATGAAAAATCTTGCATCTTGTGAATTTTGATCCTTGTAAAGCACACTGAAAGTATAAATTTATTTTTGTTCTGATCAAGAGTAGTTTGTAAATATTTTATGAAGAAAGCTTTAAGTTCTTTTAAAATATATACATCAGGATTTGTGCTTTTTAAAAATTAAGTAGGTTATCAAATGGAAATACTTAGTATTGGTTACAGGAAAATGTTTCAGATCCCTCATGTATTGTAGTTCCATTAGTACAGACTCCAAAAAGAAAGACTACTCTGCTCTATTGTTTCAAATGTCTTTACTAAAAATCCAAAAATTAGCAGGCGTGGTGGCAAGCGCCTATAGTCCCAGCTACTCAGGAGGCTGAGGTGGAAGGATCACCAGAGCAATGGGAGGTTGAGGCTGCAGTAAGTTGTGATCATGCCAATGCACTCCAGCCCGGCTGACAAAGTGAGACCCCATCTTAAAAAAACAGAAAACAAAAAAATCCACACAAACGTTTCCAACAATTTTCTTACATTGTTTCTTTACAACAACAATGTAAAGAGGGAACTTATACAACCACAAACCTGAAGCAAACAAGGTTACATACTACAGTTTGCATCACTTCACTTTATACTAGTTACGTCAAATTTATTAATAAAATGAATTTTCCATTGAGACTATTTGTTTTCTAATAACAGCTTATAGGACAATTAAATCTGCAGAATTAAAATTGTAAACGTTATTTTTACAAGGCATAGATTTATTTTTATCTTTCAGAAGAGTTTTAGAGTATTGAAATACTATAGCCTGCTGTTAAATTACAACTTTTATTTCCTTAAATCAAAAATTCTATCTTTACCACTATATTTCTATTAAAACAAATCCTGATTTTTTTTTTTTTGAGACGGAGTCTCGCTCTGTCACCCAGGCTGGAGTGCAGTGGTGTGATCTCGGCTCACTGCAACCTCCACCTCCTGAGTTCTAGCAATTCTCCTGCCTCAGCCTCCTGCGTAATTGGGATTACAGGTGCCTGCCACCATGCCTGGCTAATTTTTTAATTTTTAGTAGAGATGGGGTTTCACCATGTTGGTCAGGCTGATCTCCAACTCCTGACCTCATGATCCGCCCACCTCAACCTCCCAAAATGCTGGTATTACAGGCATGAGCCACCACACCCGGCCTTTGTTTGTTTCTTTTTAATAATACTGACTTTTGAGGAAATTAGGCCAGGTATTTCCCAGAATGCCTACATTCTGTATTTGTCTGTTTATTGTGTCATTTAACAATACATATTCCTTTATCCCCTGCATTTCCTGTAAACTTCTTAACATTGGAGTACCCAATGCTTGGCTGTTTTCTCTTTTCCATCTATATATTCACTCCCTTGATTTTTTTCAAAGAGTTTCATAGCTTTAAATACCATCTACCTGGTGACAACTCCCAAATATTTAGCTCTGTGGCCTGTCTCCTGATTCTAGGCTTATATATCCAACTGTCTACTCAATATCTCCACTTGAATATCTTGAAGTTATCTCAATCTTAAAATGATAAACAAATTCAGTAAAGCTGCAACCAAGCCAGCATGGGACTGGCATAAAAACAGACACATAGACCAATGGAACAGAATAAAGAACACCAAAATAAATCCATACACCTACAGTGAACTCATTTTCAACAAAGGTGCCAAGAATATACGCTAGGGAAAGCAGAGTCTCTTCAATAAAGAGTGCTGGGAAAACTTGATATCCATATGCAGAAGAATGAAACTAGAACCCTATCTCTCGACATAGACAAAAATCAAACCAAAATGGATTGAAGACTTCAATCTAAGACCTCAGATTATGAAACCACCACAAGAAAACACTGGGGAAACTCTCCAGGACATTGGTATGGGCAAAGGTTTCTTAAGTAATACTCCACAAGCACAGGCAACCAAAGCAAATGGACAAATAGGATCACATCAATTTAAAAAGCTTCTGCACAGCAAACAATCAACAAAGTGAGGAGACAAACCCACAGAATGAGAGAAAATATTTGCAAACTATTCATCTCACAAGGGATTAATAGCCAGAATATATAAGGAGTTTAAACAACTCTATAGGAAAAAATCTAATAATTCAATTACAACACGGACAGAAGATCTCAACAGACATTTCTCAAAAGAAGACACACAAAGAACAAACAGGTATATGAAAAGGTGTTCAACATCACTGATCATCAGACTTAGGCAAATCAAAAGTACAATGAGGTGTCATCTCAGCCCACTTAAAATGGCTTTTATCCAAAAGACAGGCAACAATGAATGCTGGCAAGGAAACCCTCATACCCTGTTGGTGGGAATGTAAATTAGTACAACCACTATGAAGAACAGTTTGGAGGCTTCTCCAAAACTAAAAGTAGAACTACCATGCGATCCAGCAATCTCACTCCTAGGCGTATACCCAAATGAAAGAAAATCAGGATACTGAAGACATATCTGCACTCCCATGTTTTTGTAACACTATTCCCAATAGCCAAAATTTAGAAGGAACTTAAGTGTCCATCAACAGAGGAATGGATAAATAAAATGTGGTACTTATACACAACAGAGTACTATTGAGCCATACAAAAGAATGAGATCCTGTCATCTGCAACATCATGGATGGAAATGGAGGACATTAAGTGAAATAAGCCAGACACAGAACGACAAACTTCACATGTTCTCAGTTATCTGCAGGATCTAAAAATTAAAACAACTGAACTCATGGAGATAAGAGACTAGAATGATGGTTACCAGAGGCTGGGAAGAGCGGTAGCAGGGAGAGGGGCAAGTGGGGATGGTTAATGACTACAAGAAAATAGAACGAATAAGATATATATTTGATAACACAACTGGGTGACTATAGTCAATAATAATTTAATTGTACATTTAAAAATAACTAAAACAGGATAACTGAATTGTTTGTAATGAAAATGATAAATGCTTGAGGTGATGGATACCCAATTTACCCTGATGTGATTATTATGCACTGTAGGCCTATATCAAAATACCTCACATACCCTATAAATATACAAACCTACTATGT